GCTGGCTGGGGAATTCTGGGAGTTGAAGTCTACCCATCGTAGAGTTGCTAAGGTTGAGAAACACTGGAATAGACAGTATAGGACTGGTTGATCAAATAGACCTTAAAGAAGTAACTTGTATTTCTAGCAGAGTTTCATGAGTAAAACCAGTGCCTTAAGCCAGGAGTTGGCAAACCTCAATCCATGGGCCAGATATGGCCCACTGCCTATTTTCATACAGCCCACTAGCTGAGAATGGACAGACGTACAGGTGGCAGATTGCCAGGCCTGAGCTTCAGCCAAATTCCCAGGGTGAAGGCCAGGGGTGGGGCATCCTGGGTAGTGGCCTATCAGCAGCCTCCTTGCTGGGGAGCCGCACTGTCCCATGGCTGCCTCATTCCTTGGCCTGCAGAACTGCCAGCTCTGGAGGCAGAGGAGGGGCAGGATCTGCCCTTCACTGAAAGCGTTCTCTGACCCCTGTCTTAAGCTTCCACAAGGGGTAAGACACACATTTTGCCCTATAAATAGTGGGCTGAAATGTGTGGCCCTGCCCAGTGTGGGAGTACTTTGGAGTCAACAAAAACAGTGGAAGAGGCACACACAGACGATTCTAAAATAGCCAGATTTGCTGTGAGATGATTTTCCATTCATCACTGAGCCTCTTTGCACACAGGAATTCCCAGGTTCCATTTCCCCCACTGAGAAAGCTCCAACCTTAGGCATAGCTCTCGGCTTTCTTTTGAGTAGACCATGGTGGGATTGGACGGTTATAAGAAACACATTTCTCCCTCGTTTGATTTCCCAGGCCTCCCCAACCTCATTGAAAGGTGCAGCTGGGACGTCTGCCCAGGTGAACGCTTCTACCGCCACCAGCGTTGCTTCCATCGTCAACTCTAATGACTCTCCCGCCAGTCGGCAAGCAGCTGCCAAGTTGGCATTGCGGAAGCAGCTGGAGAAAACCCTGCTGGAAATTCCTCCACCCAAACCACCGGCTCCTGAAATGAACTTCCTGCCCAGTGCAGCTAATAATGAGTTCATCTACCTAGTTGGGTTGGAGGAAGTGGTGCAGAACCTACTAGAAGCTCAAGGTGAGGAGGAGCTGTTAAGTGGCTAAACACTGAAGCCCGCCTTCTTCAAACTTAGTACTCTGGGAATTGTAATCCTAATACTGTTGGAGGCCACCTAGAGAGAAATGAAGCTGAGCTTTACACTGCTTACAGTCAGCTGTCGCTGGACTTCACTTCCCATCATGCTTGATTTTTAGCTATGCTGAGTAGAGGTGATACGACTGGTAGACCAAGAGCATCTCTGGGGACTCTAGGCTGGGGAAAGCAGTTTTAAGAATACCTTAATGTTCTGCTCTCAATAGATCTGGGGTTTACAGCTCTATTGCTTAATGCAAACTGGGTGATTATACATATATAATTGCGGGGAGGGGAGGGGTTGGCATAGTTTTATTATTGGCTATTTAAATAATAGTTGATATGTTGGCTTTATATCCCACCTTTGCTTTTAGGAGTTTAGGGCAGTGTACATAATAGAACCTCCTCCAGTTATATGCCCATAACAACCCCTCAGCTGGGCTGAGAAATAATAACCCACTCAAATTCACCCACTTAGTGTCCAAGCTGAGGATGGGCTTGAATCTAGATCTCCTTGATCTGAGTCCACTACCCTAACCACTACCCCACACTGTTGATACAAGGTATGAAGTCGTACTGAAGTCTTACCTTGCCACCCCTTTTCTGCTTTTGCATGCAGACCATCACAGGTTCAGTCTACGGCATCTCCAGGTAGCAGAGTTGAGAGAAGCTCCTCTCTGTCCAAGAGCGGCTGCTGTTTAGAGTACGTGGGAACCTGCTTTTTGGTTTAAATCAGTTCATGCCCATTCTCCATTCTTCAGTAAGAGATGTCAAAGTGACAGGTACCGAGGATGGGGCTGTTTCACCAGTAGCCCAGAGACATGGAATGATCTCCACCAGGAAATAACATCTGTCTTCATCATGCTGAACTCTTTCAAATATAAACCTCAAGCGATCTTTGATTTGGGGCACCATTTTGTTAACTGATGGGTTAGAAATAGGTGGTTGTTTGCCTTAAAGAGGAAACATGGTCTGAATCTGTTGGTTTTCCGTGTTATTTTTGGTGGGATATTTTTTTAGGCTTCCACTGGTGTTCTTAAGAGCCACCAAGAAACCCTTGGTAACTAGACTGTGGAGGCTACCCTGCCCGCTGAATTGTAGGGACCAACCCTCCTTGCTGTTTTAGAACTTTTCTTTGTAAGTCTCTGCTGCTTGCTTGCCTCTGCCCTCCCTGGCTATCTTCCAACATCCTTAGCCTGGCTCCTGTCCATTGGCTTGAGGAACAGAGAAGAGGACCATCGTGTTCACTCTTACTCCTTCCACTTCGTGCTTGCTTTCTCCTGGCAGTCTTAAGCTCTCTTAATCGTGGTGCTCTTCCCAGAGGTCAGAAGCCCAGGTTGATCCTTCTGTGTCTCATGCAGGTAAAGTCTCCGTCAGCCCCTCCTCGCAGGAGCCCTACACGTGCGTCCAGTGCAAGACGGACTTCACCTGCCGCTGGAGGGAGGAGAAGAGCGGCTCTATCATGTGTGAGACGTGCATGTCCTCCAATCAGAAGAAAGCGCTCAAGGCTGAGCACACTAGCCGGCTGAAGGCCGCCTTTGTTAAGGCCTTGCAGCAGGAGCAGGAGATCGAACAGCGGATATTGCAACAGGCCGCCTCCCCAATTCAGAGCAAGCCAGAACAGATAGCCCAGCAGCATCATTCGCTCAAGCAGGTAGGTGTCTTTTCTCCACTTTCTTAAGCTTATAGCGGTGTTTCTCAACCTTGGCAACTTTAAGATTTGTGGACTTCGACTCCCAGAATTCCCCAGCCAGCAA